AGAGCGGAGGAAGGGGGCAGCTGTGGGCACAGCAGAGCAGCATTCGGGCTCCGCCCTCCCTTCTTCCCAGCAGGGAGGAGCTCCTTGGCTAAGTGCTGGTCCTGCCCTCAGAGAGGCCTGGGGACAGGGGCTCCTTTGGCACTTCAGAATGATCACAAGTAATTTGCCTTTTTATTCATATAGAACAAAATTTACAAAGTCATTCATACAGTTTTTGTGGGTTTTTTTACTGACTTCGAAAATTGGGAATATTCAAAATACACTTTTACCCCACTCCATTCTGTCATTATTTACACATATGTACAAGAAAAATGAAAGAGTCTCTGTGTGTGCGTGTGTGTATGGTTGTGTTGTTTCCTTGTATTAAAAAGCTCTGCTGGTCGGAGGTGTCCAGAGCTTCTGGAAGGACGCCCCCAGGCACGGGCTGGAAGGACATGGGGATGGGGGTCTTCACGGGGCTCTGCCGGAACAGCCCCCCGTTGGGCGACCTATGTTTGCACGGCATGGAGGGCATGGTGGCCGAGCTGCTCAGTGGCAGCGGCAGGCTGCTGGGCCCTGCCGACAGTGTCCGGCTGGCGCCGTGGCTGCTCTGCTCTGGCAGAAAGGTGCTGACCGAGAGCTGGGTGTTCTGGTACTCCCGCGTCGGCTCCAAGGCCTGGCTCGGGGCCAAGCCCCCCATCTCCAGGGCTGACAGCTCGATGGATGCTGGGGAGATCTGCTTGTGGGCGATGTCTTCGTCCATGAGGCTGTTGATGCGCCGGTGCACCTGCTCCAGGTTCACTTCCTTGTCCTGCAGGGAGAGCGCAGGGAGGTCAGGCAGGCCCTCCCCGAGCCAAGGCCGGCTAGGCACGCCCTGGCTATCTGGAGACCTCATCTTGTGCTGCAGGCTGGGTGCACAGCCACACCTCAGCTATCTGGGGAACCCGCAGACCAGGACACAGCCCTGTCAGCAAAGACCCTGTCAGCACTTCCTGCTACACGCACCTCCCTCTGCTCTCAGCCAGAACCACTCTTCCTACAGGCGCCCCTCGGGAGGAGACACTGGGAAGACCTGCCAGAGGCAGAGGCAGAGGCAGTAACGAGGAGTCCCCAGGAGTAACAAGAATGCAATGAGCTCCAGTCTGCCCATGCACTGTCATGCAGGGTCCGCCACGCTCAGAAGACGTGGTGTGACCGTCCCCACCTTGCACAAAGTCGCTCAGGGTCAGGAAGGCTCAATGATGTCCCCATGGTCACCAGCCCCATGACAGTCAGAAGCAGCCCTGAGTCTGGAGCGGGAGGGAATTCCTGCCCCGCCTAAGACCATGTTCTCCCTGTGCAGTGGCATCAGAGACCAGGGAGGGGCGTGTCACAGCTGGCTGATGGGGCATGGGTTTCTGGTGGGACGAGAGGAGGGAACAGTGAGGAAAGGGACTGCCCAGGGCCAGCTGACTGCCCTGGTGCCCAAGGCTCGCAGCTGCCCAGATAGGGGACCCTCAGCCTGACACTGTCTCACCACAGTGGTGGCATCACGGGAGTGCTTTTTGGTTTGCTCATTTATTTCTTTGCTTAAGAAAAAAGAAACAAAACAAGTTATCAATCTCAACTAGATTTGCCTATGAAGTCAGAATGAATAAACACAGCCAACCTGCTTGAAAGCTCAAGGAAGGTCATCGTCCTCCTTAGTTTGACCCCACGAGGTGCCCAAAGACCAGGTGCAAAGCAGAGGAGCCGGGCTAGCTCTCAGGGGAGGCTAGAGGCTACAGGCCGACCTGTGGGCAGCAGGGGCCCAGGTGCCAGGCAGAGTGATGACCGCTCCCTTCTCTTCCTCATAACAAGCTCCAAGACAGGGACCAGGCAGTGGCATAGCCGTAACTCAGCTGGACCCACCCAGGAAAGGTCTTGGACTCACGGCCTAGGAGCTCCCCGAGCAGACTAGGCAGACGTGAGCCTGCGACGCGGGTTGGTGAGGCGGGAGGCGGCATGAAGACCCTGTTGGGGGTGCCTGTTTTCTCTCTCTCTCACTCTCTCTCCCATGGAAGAAATAAAGCAGAAACAAACAAACAAAACCAAAACCCCAAATTCAAGACAAACACTGTGGCGAAGCTGAGCTCTAAGACACAGCCCCACAGCGGTCTAACGTTCGCACAGTAAAGAGCGAGGAACCCGACCTCTGGCCTCCTTATGGGGATATTATAAATGCCAAGAAATTTAGAAGCCCTGAGTAAGTTTTGAAAAAGAGAAAAAAGGAACCATGTAGTCAAAGCGCTATTCCAGTGGCTGCTTTGTGCTCCGACGGGATGGGTGGGCGAGGATTCCCCCCTCCAGAGGCTACCCTGAGGGACTGGCAGGAGTTCCCTAGACACAAGGCTAGCCCCTGTCTGCCCTCCCCAGCGTCTCCCAGGCCAGCAACAGAAGCGCTCCCCAGCATGGGGGAGGGGAGCATCCTCTCTTCAATCTGTGAGATCGGGCTGCTGTTGAGAGGCTGCCATCATTCTCAGAGATGCCATCATTCCCAGAACAAGCAAGCTGACAGAATCCACAAAAAATGCGGAATTTGGGACCAGCAGTTAGCGTAATGGCTATGCCGATGGACTGCCATGTAGTTGATCGCGGTTTGAGTCCCAGACCTGGTGGCTTAAACGCGCGCCAGGCACGTGTATGTGCGTGCCCAAGATCCTGAGAGGAGAATGGAGGAGAAGGGATTGTAGCGTGGCCATCCCCCCTGGGGGGTGATTTCTCGCTTTTTGTCTCTCTCTGTCTTTCTGGCGAACGCAAGCGCCCTATAGCAGAATCCTCTCCAAAAAAAGAAAAAAATAAATGCGGAATTCATTCCAGGCCAGGAGGAACTCTGAGAATGTGCAAGTCAACTGATTTCAGACTGCTGGGTACTGTAAGAGGCTGCTTGGAGTCACAGGTGGAAACAATCTCAGAAACTGTCCATAACCCCCAGATGCAGAGACAAGATCCCACTGATCTGAAGCCACATGCAAGCAGCTCCCTGGTGCTGGGAGCTGAGGGTACATTTAGGTGGCACATGTCATGAGGAGGGGGCTGGAAAATACCAGCCTTTGGCCTGGTCCAGCTAAGGATCATTCAGGCAATGCTTCCATCGACTCCGCCAAGTCGGTGCAACAGAGAACACAGCAAATCCAAGCTCTTTTCCGGATCACTTGCCACCACGGTGGAGCCAGCTCTGTGCCCCTTGGTCCCTTTCTCATGCCTTGTCTGTCTTGTTTTTTCCATGTGCAGTTCTGTTTAATACAATCCGCAAACTGTTGGGTGTTAGTGGCCAGGAGCCACTGGGCATCACGGATCTTTCCTTAATTTAGGGAATTGCTCTTCTCACCGGATATGACCTGTCGACCTAGTCGAGGGACAAAACCATGACCGAAGCAAGGACCACGGGACTGAGACTGAACCCTGAAGGGAGAGAGGCGCAGACAGGAGACAGCCGGTGTCCCGCCAGTACAGAAGCAACATAGCCCTAACTGCCTGCTCCCGGCCGTCCTCAAGCCCCTGGGCCCTGGGCCTCTGGAGAAGCCCCGCGATCTGCCCGCCGCCCACCCCGCCTCCCAGCCTTTCTCTGGCTGCCATGAGCTTCTGTTAAGCTTGGGTACAGCCCCTTCCCCCAGTGCCCCACTTGGCATAATTGTATCTACAGGCCATTTTCATTTCAAAAAGTATGAAGACTGCGAGACTGATCCGGAGCGCCTGGGGCTAGAGAAGCTGAGAGAATTCCAGAATCTTTTAGGGTTTCCCTTCTCTTTGCAGCCAGCACCCTCCCTGGCAGAGCCTTCATTTCCATGGAGGGGACACTGATGACCGGGTCTTCCTGGGGACCACTGGAGGAATTAGTTGCACAACTTTTTCTCCTTTCCACTTCCCCCTCAAAACGTAAGGAACCCCTTGGGGATGAAGAGAAATGAAGCTTAGGGGTGGACTAATTCGAGGTGGGGATGAACGTCTTGATTCCCACCATGTTCACTCTGGATTCTGGCACCCACAAAACAGGGCTTAGTGTTTGGAGCTGCTCCCCGGCATGGGGTTTGGAGAGAGAAAGCAAAACTCCCTGTGCAAGAAGGCCACAGGAGGTGGGAGTTGAAGCGAGAGCATGAGGGGAGCTTGTCTACCTGACGCCATGGAAACAAACCCACAGAGAACTTCGGGGGGCAGGCCAACCAAGATCCTCTGAAGGAAAACAGAATGGGGAAATCTCTGAGGCGCCTTCACCACCTGCGCACCAGGGAGGAGACTGGGATGGAGGTGTAAAAGAGGCAGGGCATCAATGCCGTAAGACACATACACATGGCTGTGAGGAGGTGCTCGGGGAGGCCGACGCAGCAGGGTGAAGGCCAGCCAGCGAGCGGGTGGGGAGATGGCGGGTACCTTCGAGTCGGTATTTCTGAAGAGAAGAGCTGAATGACCGTATTTTTAGACCTATATGTTCTGTTCCTTGTCTGATTGATAGGTGAAGCAGTTCCGAGGATGGAGAACAGCAGTGTGAGTTGATGTCCGACTGTGGTTATCCACTGACCTTTAACCTCCCCATGGCAGGACGGGCGGAATAGCCACAGCCACTGGACAAGCGTTCCAGACAGAACTCCCCCACAACACCAAACGCCCGCAGAGAAACCCCCCCTAACCTGCAGGGACCTCATTCTGTCCACGCACCTTTGAGGTAGAGGCTACTCAGGGTAGTAGGCAGGAAAAACAGGGCATCGAAACGGAGTACAACCGAGATGCATGGACACCCCAAAACCAGCCAGCCCGCTATAACACCATGAAAAGTAACTTCCCTTCCGGCTCTTTGTCCCTCCAGCCCAGATCTGCTGTACTTTCGAGGCATATAAACACAACAATTCAGAAGTAAGGAGCCTCAGCAGGATAACTCCTAAATGTGGAATTTTAAAAATGATTTATTTAATTTTCATTTATTTATTCATTTATTTTTAATTTGGCCAGAGAGAGACTCAGAGAAAGTGAGAAAGCAAGCTATTAGATCCGAGACTCAAACCACGGTCGGCTATTTGGGAGTGTCCAGTGCCTTAACCACCACGCCACCTGCTGGTCCCCCCAAATGTGGAATTTTAAGTGCTCAGACCTAATAGAATCTATAGATCAGTGAGCTTAAAAGCATGGAAAATTATAGCCCAGAAAATGGTCTACTCTAAGAACACCATGCTTGGGGCCAAAGGATAATCTTACCCCTTACCTAGAAAAATGCAGGGCCAGCCAGTACAGGCCACAGTGAAGGACGAAGGGCACCCACACCATGTATCTAATGATGCAAGAAATGGGACCAGCAGATAGTGTGACGGCTCTGTCGCTGGACTCCCATGTAGTCAATCGCAGTTTAAGTCCCAGACCTGGTGGCTTAAACTCACACCGGGCGTGTGTGTGCATGCCCAAGATCCCAAGAGGAGAATGGAAGAGAAGGGATTGTGGTGTGGCCATCGCCCCTGGGGGGTGATTTCTCGCCTTCTATCTCTCTGTCTCTCTCTGTCTTTCTGGTGAGCATACATGTCCCATAGCAAAAACCTCTCCAATAAATAAACAAAGAACTCTTGTGACCATTATCCTCTACCCCTTTGTCAAAGCCTTATGAAAACCCATGTGAGGTAGGAGACAGGAACTCTAAGAATATATTGTGTTGCTGGAAATGCCATGTTGTATTTTTTTCTATGTTCTTCTATGCAAAAATGCATCATGACTTTTCAAACAGCCCACTAGTTAGGGTACAAGCCCAAGATAAAATCACAAAGTGGCTAAGTTTGGGGACAGAGACAATTGTCTCTGAACCGTTTGTTC